CTGGCTGGGGAGCAGACAGGAGCTGTTCAGCAGCACAGGCAGCCGGTGCGCCCAGCTCTGCACCAATCCAACCTCTTTCTCCTGTAATCCCTGTACTCCATCCAGGCCTGCTGCCAGAAGCCATTTCTGCTCTAACAAAAGGTCAAAGCCACTGAAGCACTTTTTTTTTCTCCCTCCGCTGCAGTAAATTATATAAAACCTCTCATTGCTATTCCATTTTTCTCCATCCTTTTTGAAAACTTCTCCCCCTCAGCCTTTTTCACTGGCGAAGTACAGGATACTTGTTCCTTTAGTCAGTTCAACCACTTATCTACTGAACTATTCTTTTTTCTCCTCTTTTTCCTGTGTTGTACAGCCAACCTAACACAGAAAACTCTCCCAAGACCCAGATGGGCTGTGTAAAAGCAGCTCCCCTCCCTGCTTCACCTGCTGCATCTGGGAGCACCAGGCTCAGTGGTCCCTTGGGACTGGGCTAAATCCTTTCAGGTGAACATGGGGTCTGATTACAAACCAGTTGCATTTGCTTATGGCAGATGTTGTAACTAATGCTCATCATATATTCTCAGTAAAAAGTGATTAGGAAATCAGGAATTATGACAATCTGGCCCATCTATAGCCAAACAGAGCAGGTGGGGGTTTTCAGGAAAAGTCTCTGAGCTCCCACAGCCTCTTTCTCCCAGAGCTGATGCACTAGGTGAGTGAAGCACCCAGCGCTGCTGGAACAAACTATGGGACTAGAATAAAACACATCTTGTACCAACTAGGAGTGACTTGAGCTTTACCAAATACCCCGGAGCTTTAATGAAAGCGTCGCCTTAGGGGAGCTTTTTGGACAAAGCAGCGTGTGCGCATTTCCATAAAGCGCGAGCAGCGACTTTCCTCCCAGCTCCGCTGCTCGAGCGCTTGTCCTGCGGAAGAGGAAGCGCCGCCTCGCTCCCTGCCCACGGCCGAGCTCGCTCCTCGGCGCAGCTGAGGTACATTCTGCTACCACCCAGTGGAAGGAAAGCTCGTGGCTCATGTTCCTAGGTGCTCTGCAAGAAGCGGCCCAGCGGGGTTTGCAAAGACTATTCCTGTTTCTCCCTGGGCTGCGAAAATGCCTCTTCCTCTTCTTATTCTCCCTTAGTTCATTGTTGTTGACAAAATAATTCCTCCTTTTCAACGCGCACACACACAAATCCTAGAAGGTTTGAATGCTTTTATTTGATTTTTTTATACAGCAGTACAAATTACCCAAATTCATTACAGTGCAGATATTGCAGGTTTATAGAGGTACTTGGAGGTTTTTGGTGCATTTCAAATGAAGAGGCAGCTGCTGGGAAGCAGTGGCACCAAGTGAACGTCCCCCTGGTAGGGAGCGAATCCCTCTGCTCCACGCTGGCTGAAACCTCCCTGATGGGAAGCAGCTGGAGCGACTCCAGGCAGCATTCCCAGAGCTCCTGTTCCTAACCTAGAGACCCTGGGACGTGCTACGGCTTCGCATGAGCACGGGGTAGTTGGCAGGTGAGCAGATTGTTTCTGTACTGGTGCTGCAGACTCTTGAAGCCCATGGACACCCTTTGCTCCGAGGAGGATGGAAGGGAGGAAAGCCAACATTAAAATTACCTTGCTGCTGAGCAAGCAAGCTTATGCAACCGAGTTGTTGCAGCTGTGTAAAAGGAAACCATAAAACGCTTTGAGTCAGTCAGCCAGAGAGCTACAGGGGGAACGTGATCTTGGACCTAATGCTAATGCAGAAAACCGCCGCAGTTTTGTGTATATTTGACTCCTTAAAGTCCTACAATGGGTAAAATGGTATTGAGGAAGAAGGATTCAGCTACCAGATTAGAAAAGTCCTGTCTCATCTGGAAATCAAATTCCTCTTCAGCCACAGCAACTCCTCTGTCTGAAAATTTAAGACAAGCAACACCCAGAAATTGCATCACAAGAATCAAGTCTAATGAAATGCCCTTGAGAAGTGCAAAAGTAACTGATTCTACCCTGGAGTATGTCTGGACAAAGCTAACCCCCTCACTCCTTCAGAGCCTTTGCTCTCACACGGTAGTAAAATACAGCAAAATAACACCAGAAAATAAAGCAAAAACTTCAACGCCAATTTAAAGCTGCCTGCAGGTAACTGCTCATTGACTGGGTTCTTGCTGAAAGCCAGTTTGAATCATCATGAGGGGTATTTCCACAGAGCAAGAAAGAACGAGGTCAGGGTAGAAAACCAGTGACCTACGTCTGGCTCTGAACTGCAGGGCTCGGAGCAGACTCGACACACGCAGTGTTTGTCCAAGGACACGCTTGGCAGGAGCAGTGAGATCCCTGGGGAAAAAAGTCACTCCAAATAGTTCGTTCAAAGCGCTCAGCAGGACAAGGGCTGCTTGGACCGTAACCACCTCGACTGCTGTGACGAGGGGGGCATCAGGCATTGCAGAACTCTGCCTGCTTTATTAATACGCTTTTTGAAAAGGTTGAGTTGCAATATTATAGGATTTGTTCCAAAATCCTCAAGATTTTATCATTTGTTCCTGAAGACAAATCGGCAGCTAATACCACAGGTGGCAAATAAGCTGCTATACTCTGTGCTAAAGGCAGGCTTGAACTAAACTATAATATTAGCACAAAGACTGAAAAAAAATAGCAGCATCATCCAGATTGTGTTGGGACAGTGTCTTGGTCATGCCCTTGGTCACAACCAGCTCGGGTTATGTCCAGCAGGACTCCTGAAATTCAGTCAATGCTGGAAGTTCTTCACTATTCCCTGTGTATGTTGGTAGTAACCTTGTTACTGACTTCGAATTCAAGCTTCAAGAAAGCTCTGCACAACCACCAAGCTTAACAGCAGGAACATAGACAGACAGTGAATTATGGATTTGTTGCCACCGCTGGCAACCTTCATGGTCTAGGCTGAGCCATGCTGTATTTAGCTTAAAGTTGCAGGTAAATTACATCATAGTCCATCCATTAACAGCATTTTGCCAGTAGAGCAAATCCTGCTTCCCCCTACCAAATGTAAATATCATGTTCATAAGAAAATAGTTGTCAGCTGTTGGCAGGAGCTAGTTCGCTGTATTTCTGTGCTGGAATAATTTAGTTATAGTTTGAGAATAGTGATTAATTAAACAAGATTTTAAAGAGGGAAGAAAACAGAAATGGAAATTAAACCATAGAAGCATAAGGCAGGATACTCCAAAGAAACCAGGCAATTGCAAAACCAATGCAAGCATCCAAGGAACGCTGTTCAAAATGGTAATAAACAGTATCAGCATGAAGCCTTTTTCACTGCTGGGAAATGATTGACCAAATAAGAATTAATAGGTACCAAAACCTATTTATTAGAACAAGATGAGCCACTTCCCACCTCTCTACCACCTCGCAAAGCAGGGCTGCTTTTCTCCATGCAGAGCAATGAAACGGCAGCCTCCACCGCTACGAGGGTGGAAGGAGCAGTCCTGAGCACGTCTAGCAGGGGCAGGAGAGGATCTTCCCCCCAAGTCAGTCAGCCCTGCCCCTGCCCCTCCAGTAACTGTTCACCTACAGCCAGAGCGCTTCAGCACGATGCTCCAGAGCGGGATGTGGATCCGCGGCTCCAGCTGCCCTAGGAGCACGTGCAGACACGGAGGGTGGTCTGAGCCTGGAAGGCAGACACACCTTCCATCCTTCCATGGAAGGGAAGGCATCAAGTCCAGTGGGAAGGTTAGAGCTTGTTTCCTCAACAAAAGCCTCTTTCCTTCTTTTAGCTTACCCTGCAGCCTGCACTCAGCCAAGACAAAAGGCAACAGTCTCATCAACAGCTGGGCTTAGGGGAATGAAACTTGCTAAAGGCTTGGGAGAAACGGGAAGAGCAGCAGCAATCCGATCTTTTCATTTTTGTCACAGCATATAAAGCCACTACATTAAAAATTTGTCACAGCTCAAACCGGGAGGTCACAGTTTTGTCCTTTACCAGGCAGGGGTTGTTGAGGTGAACAGAACTCAGCCTCTGGAAAAGGGACAGTACCAAGAGCTCTACAAACTGCAAGACTTCCAAACTTTTGCAAAAGCAAGTGCTAGGCATAGAGCTAAGGTCATACAGAAGCTCAGGACAAAGAACTTGAGCTTACTGCCAGCTCTGCCCAAGGTTTCTGCCACCTGCATGTCCCCAGCACTTGTCTGACTCCTAACTCCTGCTTTCTTCCCCTCCCTCCTTACATATACAGCAAGTGTGGCTGATACTAAAAGTTGGCCTAAAAGATTTAGGGAACCAAATTTCCAATCAATTGAGCATTGGAGAATTGGAAAACAAAAGAAGCTACAGCAGACTTAAATAAAGACCCATGTTAAATATTACTTAATGTTTTCTTTTATTTAAAAGATCATTCACAAAATACCATATCCATAAATTTATTTTGTTATGAAGCAGAATGTGTTAAGTGTTTGGAATTTTTTTTCCTTTTTCCTTTTTTTTGTTTGTTTTCTTTTTACATTTAAAAGTCAACTGTCTTGACTAGAGGTGAATTTTTATATGGGAATTTTGTTCTTAAAATCTTTTCCACATTAAAGATGTAAATAGGTCGATCATTGGTTTGGAATACAACCACACAAATGCATGTCTGTCTTAAATTAAGTATTAGTGTTAGACAAATGGTTCTTATCTCTGAAGCAGATTAAGTGACAGGCAGAAGGAAGGAAAGTAGTTCTGTAAATTGCTGGGACTCTGATGTGACAAAAAGGTAACTTTAAGGAAGAAATTCACTACTAGCAGTGAGGCTTGTAGCAAAGCAGCCATGCCTCCTAACTCCTCTTGTGAATATTCTGGTGTTGGCTGCTTTATCAGCACTAGCACTAGGGCAAGACAAGAGTTCTTCCCATGCAGATCTGTCTACAGAGTGTTACAGAGACAGGTTTTGGTTCTAAACATGAATACGTTCTCTCCCCCTTTGCTCCAGCCTCCCGTTTCCCTCACCTCCCTCTTCCCACACATGCACTCCCAGGAACAGCGGCAAGAAACATTTCAGGTTCAGAGAGATGTGGCTTTTTACCCAAACTTCTACATGAGCAGGATCTAAAGCATATTGGATTCTTATCTGCCCCTTCTCAAGGCATTCTGAAAGCAGAGGTCTTAAACTGTACACCACTAGCTGAAGAAATACAGAGGATAATGGCAATTACATATTGCATGGCAAAGTATACACTCCTTAAACAAAAATAAAAAAGTCAATTTTATTTGTATAAACTTCATTTAAAAATTTACCAAACATGTAAAACCCAAAGAAATTTAAGCAGGAAGAGCCAGTGAGTTGTGCTCAAACAGGCACATTTTTGCAGCACTAACCTTGAGCTCAGAAGTGTAGTGTTATGCCATTTTGAAGTCAAAAGCCAGAAGTCTACTGGCAGATGCTTTATCTATAGAGATGCTACCAATTCACCAGGTTTACTCTCAGCTAATTTTATTTGCATCTATTAAGCTGGTATTTCACAGTGACCTGCGTGAAAGGGCAGTGATCCCCCTCGATTTTAATAAAGAATTATGCTGTATACAGTAATTCTATCATCAATTGTCATCAATGGTATCTCACTACATGGTTAGAACTGTAAATTACTCTAACTGCTCAACTTGTCTGGACTCTCCAGCTTTCCTCTTCAGAGCCACAGCAATACAGAACAAGACATGCAGGTCAGAAGAGGAGCACTGAGGAAGTAAAAGGAAACAATACAGGGTAGTAACTAAGCCTAACCTGTGCTTCTAAAGTAAAACAAACCCAGAAAGGAGGAGGTGAAGCAGCACATTTGTCCAGAGACCTCCGCATTGGTGGAAGCAGCTACACTGCCTTACCTACTGGCAAGTGTGCTGCTTGGAAGGAAACAGAAGAGGGAAACTCAGCACAAAGCAGGCACTAGATACAGCAAAGCCAAGAACGTACTAAAAACCACTTGTTAACAGCTGACATGCATTCACAAGCTCTGTGTTTTCGGTTTTAAAGAGGACAAATGCCAGATGGCAGGAATGGTAAACTGCAGGGTTGACATTCCAGCAGAGCTAGTCACTCTGTACTGTCTTGCTTTTTCTCCCGCCTCCCCATTCCCTCTCAACCCCAAGCTCAGTCGTGCTCTTTTACTACTTCCTCTCGGGGTTTGGCTCCACCAAAGATAGCAGAGTTGGGGTTGGCTACTTGATTGAGGGGAGTAGCAACTGTTCGAGGCTTGAGCTGAAGTCGGGGCCGCTGTGCTCTTTCCTCTGAAAGAAAAAGATGTCAGCGTTAAGATTTGTCTATCATGGAGGGTTGCTTTAGCCTAAAGGAGAAAGCAGGAGTTTCCTTTCTAAAGGAAGGAGGGCTGAATTCCAGAAGACTTTCTAGTTTACCTTCTGTTGGCTCTCTGAAGTCCATGGAAGATCCACGAAGGGGAGGCCCATCTCTGAAGCGACCGGTGCCACCAGTTCCCATTGAGGCACCAGGTGGTCGCCGGTCTCCGGGACGAGTTCCTCTACCCCGACCTCCCAAGAAGTCATCATCTTTGAATCCTGAAGGAAGATGGTGTATTTAAAGAACACATTCTGCAATACTTCCTCTCAAGATTTTTTTTTTTTATTCTGGGTGACTGGAAAATCTTGCATGTTATTGCTGTAAATCCAAGATGTTGCACCTGACACTTTACCAAGATCCTCTGTCTGCAGGCAGATTGCTTTGCAAATCTCTAACACACCGTGGCCATCATAGAGATTCCACCTGAAACCAAGTATGGCATCCCAGAATTCAGAGCCTGCCTCATCCATCTAGAGGCTTATTTCATACGCAATCTTTGAGTCAGCCTCCAAAATGAGGAAAACTATGAGTTTCAGCTTCAACTTCAGATTAACACCATGAGGTGAATTGACAGACTACAGTAGAAACTGTTTGATCACATTGGCTACAGCCTTAACAGAAAATTTACAGGAGCAGAACGAATAAGAGCTAGAAGTAAGAGATGAGAGTCCTTAAAGAAAAATTAAAAAAAGGCAAAACAAAAAAATAAGAGCCTTAAAACAAAAAGACCACAGTCCCATGGCTTTCCAGTTAAACTATGACTACCTGTCAATGATCTTTGAAAAAGTGTGTCACAGATGTTATTACTAAGCTAAGCAGACCTTTTACTAGACTAACAAACGGCAGGAAACAAAACAATTCAGACTAAATATGAAGTTGGCTGCGCTTCTTCAGTGTATGTATCAAGGAAAAAATATCAAGAAGCAGAACTGCTCTGTACCAATAACTATCTTGATCTATATTATAGAGATATCTAGAGTACATCACCACCTGCTTTCAACAGGAGAAGGATATTTCAGACTAGCAGGATATCAAAAGGGGAATATATTCAGTTTTTCGGAAGTTTCCTGGAAATTTGTTTTCTTTGCATTTGACATTTTTTCCTGGGCTTCAATATATGTGCCAGAGTTGTAGAATTGTTCCAGAATGGCAGTCTTTGAAGACTGGATCCAGAACAAGATAATAAAACCTGTGGAAAAAAGCTTCTGTAGCAGCTAAATGCTAAACTTTTGGTGTACACGTGACTACTCCAGCATCTAACCAGCTGAAATATGTCTATTTAGTTACAAAAAAGTGCAATTTAAGACACCATAATGCTTAGCTATGAAGGCAAGTTAAGCATAGCACTGCAGCAAGCTTGTTTTCTCCACACCATGCATAAGGTTTTGTGTGCATGGAGAGGGTACGTTTTGTTACCCTCTCCTTGTACTTCATCCATTCCATTCATGCGGAGACACTACTATGTTAGCATCTGCACACATCTCCCCATCAGAAAATGGACCAAACCCATTATTTCAGAGGACAAACAACCACATTGGTGTCACCCCCTGGGGTCTAGCATCTGGCAAAGTATTTGATAACACAAAGCCAGAGAAAATAAAAAATAAATAAATAAATAAATAAATAAATAAAACACATCACCACACATGGCAGCTCCAAAGCTAGCTTTTAGGCAGCGAGCTCTGTTTTTTGCTGCCATAACAGACCTAGAAACTTCAGAAGCATTTTGAATGTTTAAGAAAAAAGTGTTTGGAACCCTAACATGTCCTTGAAGTCAATTATTTTAATGGATGCACCATGTAGGGATGTTACATCTCCTTCTAAACAAAGTCCTTGCTTCAAGAGAATACAACACTGGTATCAGTTTTTTCCCCCACCACGTTTGTCTGCTTCTGCTACTATTCAAAAATATACGCTGTCTTATGTCTGAGAAATTTAGTCCTCTAGGCAACATAAGCTACATTTGAAAAACTATTCTGACATTTAAGACTGTTTCGTAAAATTTACAGTCAAAACTGTAATAAAGCAATAGAAGTTTCCCTGAAAGGATCCTTCTGCAAATGTAGGATGTCTCAAGTTGACACACAGTAGATGAAAACAGCAAATGGGGACAAATGTAGCTGACATGAAAATGAGAACACTTCTGTGCTTTTTAGGCTGCCTGTCTATAAAGTTTTAATACTGATACCAGAATTGAAGTCATCTCTGGGATCCCATCCACCTCCTCTGGATTCTCGGGGACCTCCTCCCATTCCTAGGAAAAAAGCCACAATTGTGTTCAGGTCTGAAGCTGTGGGAAAGACTGATCAAGGGGAGACCAAACCAAAGATTCAGTCCTTTAATAGCCGAAGTCATGCTGTTGAAAAAACTTTTCGTTTCAGTAGTTATCTAGTTCCATCGGACAGGAACAAAGAGCAAGGTTAAGCTAACCAAGAATATGTAGCCAAAAAAAAAAAAAATCTTCCTTAGCATAAATTAGAGATACACTTAGAAATGCACTTGGAAATGCACTTGAGTCTAGTTCTGGTAAACTTTATGACTAGACAAAGCCTATTTTCACACTGGAACATGAGATATTTCGAGTTAACTATTTGTATGCCTGTATTTACGTGGCTTACCCACTGTCTTACACAACAATAAAATAGTAGCAGATCAGACTGTTGGGCTTACGATTGTCCTCTGCAAGACACTGTACATTACTAGGGGTATTGGTCTCACTTCCTGGGCTAGGAATAACACATTCAGCTTTTGGACACAAAGTGCATCTATTCCAGATATCTCAGGAGCAGCAACTAGGTTAGAAAGGAATATGCACAATTTCTACTTCCATATACTCTTCATGGGAGATTTACTTGCATGCTTTGTCTTAGCATTAGTTAGCACCAGCAGTGATAAGAATTTTCTTTAAATGTAACAGTTAAGAAAGTCACCTCTGTCATCAGGTCCACCTTTTCTGAAGCCAAAACCACCTTTATCCTGTTTTCTGCCTTCTGCTATGTCCACTCGGAGTGATCGGTCACCCAAAAGCTGTCAAATGAAAGAAACTATTTTCAGAAGTTGCCAGGTAAGTGTCTAAAGAGTCTGAGACTCATGCTCATCTTTGTTTCACACATTAATTTGAAGTATACTTACTGCACCATCATACGTAAGAGCTTCCTTGAGTGATTCCACCTCATCAAACTCCACGTAACAAAATCCTGTAAGGAGAGCCTCACAAGTTAATATCAGCAATTGAAAAGCCGTTTATAAGTTTTTCTTCCTACGTTATCTGCTAACAGTCTCCTTTCAGCCATGACCTAGGATAAATGCAAGATGTACACTACTCAGGAACCAGACATCACTAAGGACAAATGTATTACCTATGTCTACTAACAGCTGGGACAATATAGCTCTGCAATATAGCTCTTCATATGGACACTATGCCTTTGCTATGACTCTGATTAGATTCCTTTCCTCATCTGTTCTCATTACAGATTAGCTTTGAGCTATGCCTTTAATCAGCTATTTAGTTGGACACTGATGTTTGGGTGCTAGCATCTTTTAACAAGAAGCTGAAGCATCTGCTTGAACAGCAATCTAATTGTGTCACCATATTTAGCGAATTTGCTATTTCTTTTCTGAGACCCTTCAATACTTGAGTTAGGCTTCTCTTCTTTAAAATAGAAAAAAAATGCTTACCAATAATATACCACTCTTCCCATGGCCACAACCCCAACGTAAAAAGCTGCCACCCATCTAAAATATTTGCTTCCTGTAATACCATTGCCTGAATGGCCTAACTGCATTTCTTCCCTAGTCACCAAATGGCAGAGGGGCACCAGTGGGAGTCCTGGAAGCTAGAACAGACTGTGAGGATACTCAAGACTTTGATATCTTTGAACTCAATAAGGTTTGTTATAATCCATGCGAAGCATAAGATTTGAGAAAGCTCTTTTATGGTAAGGTAAATTTTGCCTCTTCTCACCTGTGAATCTCACTCAAGTAAGATATTTTTTAGTGAAAGAAACTGGTGTAAGTCAACATGGAATAACAAGCCTACACTGACAAGCTACCTGGGACTTGAGAGTTAAGACTGATATTCACCATCAGAACAACAGTGAATTTAGAAGTACACCAGCTCCCCTGTGTTCAGCCATCCACGTCTAGAACAGTTTTGAATACTCACCTTTAAATTTGTCTGTTTCCTTGTCTCTGACTAGTCGTACACTCCTTACACTGAGATCCTTAAAGATAGCATCTATGTCTCCTTGAACAGTGTTGAAAGGTAGATTTCCCACATATGCTGTGAAAGGGGGTTCTGTTGGCAGCTCTTTCTGTCTGCGGGAACCAAGGCCGCCACCACGGGACCTGTTCAAAAAAAAGCAGTGTTAGACTCTGGCACATGATTCCCAAAAAAAGCCAGTAATGTAGTCTTTAGCATCATCAGGTGCTTTTTGACTTTGAAAGAGGTGTTTTCCACAACTATAGTTAGTTTCTCCATCCTTTTGTCTGGACATGTCATCCCCAGCATCAACCAATGCCTTTTCAGTATTATTTGATCAGTAATAGGTCAGGGTTAAACAAAACAGCAGTTTAAGTACATTCCAGGTGAACTCAGTAATGAAATGATCAGCAAACTTCCCCTTATAATCCACTGAAAAGACTGCAATGAAGTTATCTGCACTGCTCCCATCCATCCCTTCCCAAAAATACATTTCAGACTGAAACACTAATAATTCACAGAAGTAAAGAAATATTTGCATGGCACAGCCTCTTCATTGCATTCTGATATCAAACTGAGCATAATACTTTCAACCAAATAAGGTACTCCACAGTCATCCAAATTATTTCAGTGGTGTTAACTCAATAGAAGTATTTTCTAGCTCTGAAAAGTTATTGCCAGGACCAACTGTCAGATACCTAAAGGGTACCTGGACTGGAATGCTCTAACTGAACACAGTAAAAAGCTTGTTTGAGCAAGAAACTCTAAAGCAGAGTAATCAAGAGGTTGTGATACTTGGAAGTTTACTTCTTCATGGCTTGAGACTTACAAATTGAAGAAGATTAGGTGGCCTTTTCCTATCTTTTCTCTATCCTCAGCTAGGGCTATCAACATTGTTTTGCTGAGAAACGAAGCCAACTAAGCTAATACAGTTGCATTACTGTATTAATGCAACACACACACGGCAGCATTCAGTTCCTAAGCTTTTAAAATTTGACCATCTTTACAAACACAAAGTTTTATCATGGACACAAGGCAACCTTAAGTCCTAACAGTTCCACAGAATTTCTAGACCAGAAGATGCTACTGTCACTGGTTTCAATAGTCATTCCCTTGCCTGTGTTCAACTCTTCCCAGGGATGCTTTGTGTAATGCTGTGCTCAGGCGCTCCTTTAACACCTTGCTTGTACTGGGCTTTGTCCATGCCTGCACCCTTCTCCCAAGGCTCAGTGACCATTTAAGAGCACAGTGGAACATAAAGTGTACCAAACCAGGATTAGCTACTGTGACATGGGCTAATTAGTTCATTTTAAGATTAGTCTGCCAAAGGCTTATCCAATAATTTTATTCTTTTACTCTGAGTGTCTGGGTGCACACTGCAATGTAATCATTGTCCATCTTTGTTTCACATCCTAGAATAAGTGTTCTATTACTGCTAATGAATCAGGTAAGAAAATTCATTAAAAATTTCTGCTAACACTTTCTAGATAAGCCTGTCATTTATGCCTATTCATGGTAGCAGCTCTGTCCAGGAGTCATTTGACATTAGAAGAGCATGCTGCTACATTTAATCAAATCACAACCTACATATCATTTTTAACATTCGCATCTACCTAAGTTCATATTTTAGCATTTTTAGCTGTATTATTTATCTATCTTCTCCTCACTCACAAGTAACCCAGAGTGAAACTGCCAACATTCAGATGCTTATATATAAACAGCAGCATAAAAAAAAAAAAAAAAAAGACTAAAGTTAAGGAGTTCCAAGAAAGCAGAGCTATCTGTTTAAGAGCTCTGCAGCATGTAAAAATCAATTCCATCATGACTTCATTCCTCATTCTCAACTGCAGGTTTATGAAAAACTATTAAAGCACCATACATAGAATACAAAATCTAAGACTTTGGCTGTAAATTATATCATGAACATTGGAATCACTTGGGTAGAGCTTAAGAGGAATATTCCTCCCCTTCTGTATGTTCTGCCATGTTCTCTGGACTGCCAATCATCCACAACAGTGAGCTGATTCACCTGAAAACTCACCTAAAAATGGGTTCTCAGCCAGATTGGTGAGGTGATCTGGCCAGCTGCAAGGACACAAGTGCCAACACAGGAGGAGAGGAATAGAAGTCAGCACAGGAACTACTCCTCTTGATGGCAGCCCCTCCCTGGATCAAATCAAACTGCTTCTGAAACCACACCCTCAAGTTCACAACCAACAGTCCCTACAGCATTTTAATCTTGCTCTGATGATAAACTTTTTCTACTGTAGCACACAAGGATTTCATGGGGCTGCTATATTGCAGCCATGATCCTCACCCAAGTTCCAAACTAAATTTCCCACAGAATTTAGATACAGCTGCAGTACTTTAAGAAACTCTTTCTATGCTTCTCCTTTTTTAAAGCAAAAATTGAGCCCCAAAAGACTGACTTCTGATTTCAATAAACAAACAATGAGATGGAATGAAGACACTCACTTATAACAATAGGACGAGAAGCAGCTATAATTAAGAACATTTCTGAACTAAGTGAACCAGGTCAGCACCAAAAATGTTAAATGAGTATTTGATATCTCCACTCAGTATAACTTTAACTCCAACAATTAGATAATAACTATGTCACCTTAATATGGGACCCTTAAGAAACATGTATTTTTTTTTCAGAAAAATGAAAAGGAAAGCAAAATAAGAAAGCTCACTTCTAGCAGAGACAGAAGCAAACATCTCTAATAGGGAAGTAGTAACAATCAAATAATCATTTTAAAGCTACTGTTTTGGAAAGTTTCCGTTACCTTCTCCAGAAACTAAAATCTGCCAAAGGCTCAAAACCAGGCATCTTTTAGACAGGATTGGAATTTAAAAGCCTTTCAACTAACAAGCAAAACAATAATTCACTATTTGCCTTTATTGATTAGGTTGTTGTCCCTAATATGATTCCAATGTTAGCATTTTATTACAGATGCCATGAGGAACACCAGGATGCAAGATCTGTCAAGAGTCTCCATACCTAACTCCAAATATGCACCTACTTTATTCAAGTAACCCAAAATAGTATCACATATCTACAAGAAAACCTTGTTAGGAGGCATTTGTTAACAGCAAATGGCCAAGACACAAGATCCAGCATGCCAAAACAAAATAGACTGGGTCTCTATTTTCATTTAATGGTACAACACTTCAGCAGATGACGTTCAATCTTCGAGTAAAGCCCAGTGCTTAAAACCACACCTAAATAAACAGCATGCTAGCAAATCAGGGCTGACAAATGCTTGTAATTGCCTTCAACTCTGAGAAGCTCTACAGATGTTCGGAGAGTCTCAGCAAGGCCACAGTATTCTCAGGTACTCATTTCAGTGTCAGCTTTTGGACTTCAAAACATCACCATCTTTAACATTCAGTCTTTGTTATTAAATGTTAGCTACACAGCACCCATGTGGGGTAAAGTGGATACTCTGAGAGCAAAAGCATGATACTATTTAGGCACTATCAGGATACTATTAATGCAAGCCTAAGAAACACTCTAGACGGATTAGAGCTTGCCAGGAAATAATTAGTTTTCTACGTACCTCACTTAAACACTAAAGTTAACTCTCCCTACAGGTCAATTGTTACTTCAAATGCAAATTCAAGAGAAACCATCAAGTCTCAACAGTGTTTACACTATCCCAACAGTGCTGCATGGCCTAGAAATGGGTAAAAAACCTTTTAAATTGAGAAATGATCCTTTTCTCAGAACTGTCAAGAACACAAGTCATGTTCTTGTTCAACTACAAATATGACAAGACTTTGTACAAAGCACAGTGACCTGTTAGGGTCTAGCCCCATGAATTTGTTTTGTAGCAAGAGCTGTGAGTTAGATGCTAGTGGAAGTTGCATCCCATTTTAATACTAGTAGCATCTAAAGCTTAAAATGACAGTTAACTCAGTATGTGCTCCTCCTCATCTGCAGAGGCATTTCCTCATCAGCAGGACACCTCTAGCTGACCCAAAACAGTATCCAAGTCTTGCCTGAGAGCTAGTTTAAGTGCTCTATTAAAAAAAATCTGAATATGAAGGTAATAGTTTTACAACTCCATAGAAGATACCTACATTTCCTGGTCTGGGATGCAAAGCAGCAACAGGATTTATTACACAAGTACCACTTCAGACTGGCTTCAAGGCCAAGGTTCTTATACAGAGTATAAGAAGCACCAAAACTTTAAGTAGTTATGTTGTCTGTTTTGTTTTGTTTTCCTGGGATCTCTGCACACAAAGGGTGTTCGAACATTTAAAAAAAGTAATTAAAAAAAGGAATCAAATTTACAAAATTCATACTATATGAGAGTATGAGAAAAAAAAATCCTATTGACAGTAACAGCTCCTCCCTAATGCTTAAACAGTCGAGAAACGAAACTGTATTCCCCTAACTACATGAAAGGACAAAAAACACATCCAGATCATGATCCAGACATATGTCTTGGAAGACTGCGATACAAGACGGCATACTTGTTAAGATTTGTTAGAGAGACCCATTTATTCTGCAGTTACACGGCTGTTTCATTTTAGTGTAGACAGAGCTGTACAATGCAACCTTCAGAGAACCCCACCTGTACCTTCCCAATCTGATTTCAAGCAAGTTTAATAATTGCTAGTTATTTTTTTGTAGATTAAAAAAATTAAAAAAAAAAAAACAGAAAGGAGAAGATGGATAATTCAAGTTTGGAGGGACCGAGCGCTTAACTGCTCATCTCCAGCCTTTCCCCAAGGAGGCTCTGGCAGGCCGTCCCAAAGGGGTTTCTGCAGCCCCAGCCCCTTCGATCCCTTCATCCTCAGCTGCAAGCAGAGGATCCGGACCCCGCTTTAGAGCCAGCTCCAGCACGCGGGGCCCCGC